GACTCCCAGGGTGTCCTCTTTCTACTGCCCAAACTCGAAGTGAATAGTAGTAAGTCATGTCTGGAGAAAAGTCGTATAGTTTGTAGACAGTATGGTTTTATATTTGCTCTGATTTTGGTACTTTTCCCGGCCTTAATATTTCATTATAAACCAGATGATAATTCAGGATACTAGGTTCGTTTAAAGAACATTAAGTTAAACCACTACAACGGACATCCGACATTGTGCCAGATTCCCATTATACAGTTTTTAGAAAAGTTTTCATTTTTAAATAATTACATTTTTATTTTTAATTGATAAAATTTTGGTTGACAACGGTACTCTTTTCAAGCCAAATGTCTGGGCGAAAATATTTTTTTTAATTTGAGTTTTGTAGCAGTTACTTTTTAATATTGAGGAAGCCTTTACAAATCCTGCAGTTAACGTTGACATAAAATTACGGGTATAGTCCCTTTAATTTGTTACCCAGTAGCCCGGAACTTTAATTTTACCAGACTGATTATTATGGTAAACTAGATAATATATTAATTTGTTTATTCCGTGATAAAAACAAATCTATAAGTTAGTCTATATTGGTCTTTAGTAAAGAAAGCAGTATTGAGAAAAATTAAATGAAAAAGGTAGTTAATATTAAATTACGAGCCGGCCAGCGTATAAAGGTGAACTAATCGTACTGAGCTCAACTTCTTCTCTTGGTTCATAAACATTTATATGAGTTCAAATGGTTTTCAAATTTCACACTATACATGGATATTTTAAAGAAAATCAAATCTTTTGTGTTAGTGTGCATATTTTTATTTTAAAATTTGCATAGAAAGGCAATCCATGCACCTCAAACTATTTTAGTTCAGGGCTTAGGTCAAAGATGACTAGGGGTCATGCGAAACTAACTTAAACCAGTCACGTGACATATCCATTGTCCAGGTTGAGATTAGCTAAATCAGAGGATTTGAGTCTTTGCCACAAACTCTGATTATCTAATTCCATAGCTCAGCTAGGATCTTGAAGGGTTGATTTCGGCTAATATTGTCTGATTCTTTATAATTATGGTTGATTTATGCCACCGTAGACTGATTCAGGCTTATTAAGTTTGATTAAGGTTAATCAAGGCTTATTTAGGTTGATTTAGGCTGATTTAGGCTGATTTAGGCTGCTTTAGGTTGAGTTAGATTTAGGTTGAATTTGACTGTTTTTTATTGATTTTGGCTGATAAAGATTGATTTAGGCTTATTTAGGTTGATTTAGGCTGATTTTGGCTGATTTAGGCTAAATTAGGCTGATTTAGGCTGATTTAGGCTGCTTTAGGTTACTTTATGTTGAATTTGACTGATTTTAGTTGATTAAAGTTGATTAAGGTTAAGTCGGGTTGATAAGGTTCATCTAGGTTCAATACTATGCATATGAGAACCCTCTTTACTAAAATAAACAAACCCGTATATACGAGCTATGTCTATATATATTTATATATTTATAAACAAACAAAGCTTAAATACTTCACTGAAGTGTATATTGATAAATAAATCATTACAAGCAAATTAAATAATACCAGTGCTTAGGATCCGAATTCGGATCCGTTGGATCCGCAAGATTTTGGCTTCCTGGATCCGGATCCGGATCCGCAAAAATATGCGGACCCACGGATCCAGGGGTAAAATATTAACCAAAAACTGCCAAAAAAAACTTTTTTACTCCTAAAACCCAAATCTGATTTTTTCAAAAAAGAGGATTATAAAAATGTCCTCATTTCTGAATGGTTCGCAAGTTTTAGGATAAAAATGAGCGAAAAAAATAAACACAAAATTTGAAAATTTTTTTTTGTTTAACAATCCAGTAAATCTTAAGGAAATTACCTGGATCCGGATCTATTTTTTTCCAGTGCAGATCCGGATCCGCATGAAAATTAAATAGATCCTAAGCACTGCTAAATACAGTGGTTCCCAATATTTATACAGGAAATGAAAGAAAAGGTATTGAAAGTTAGAAGTGGGTTTGAAAAAAATACAATTCTTGGTTGTAATTTTTGAAATATTTTTCTTTAAAAGAATGTTACGGGTTTTCAAATTTATCTTTGCAACCCAAATATAGACGACTGTGGAGACCCTGGATTACCAGCTGATTGCCGGAAACTCTGAAGACCAAACCAAACATATTTATTCAAGATAGTTTTTCTCATGTTGTAAGTTAGACAAAATATATACAGTTAGTCTCGTTTATATCTTTGTTATTTTGCGTCGCTACACGACCATATATATTTTAAACTATGAATTCTGTTAGATCTAGGGTTTTCCAATCCGAATTCCGTTGCGCGGAATTGCGATCAAGTGTTCTCGTATTGCTCGAAATTGTGAGGAAAGGACATGGTGTCTCAGCAAGTAAAATCCACTCGCATTGAAGACCCTAGTTAGATCAAATAATCAAAGTTTGAAATTTAAAATTTTAAGTCATTAGAGGCCGAATTTAAAGAATTTGTGCCGCGGCTAAATTATGGTTGGTTTCAAATTGTCTCAAATGTTTCAAGATTTAAGCTGGTGCTCAATTTAAACCGGGTTTTGGCGGATTTAAGTCGCGACTTAAATTCTTTAAATTCGGCCTCAGATTCAACAGATATAGGGAATAGAAAATCAGAGTTCAGACTCAATCCTTTATATCCTGATTTTTGAGAATTTTTTTTTCCTCATGTTTCTTGTTTCTCCAATAAACAACTTTTTGTATGAATTAGCGAAGGAAAAAAGTCGATCCCTGTAATTTTGTAAGAATTACAAAGAAAGAGATAAGAACATGCTGTGTACAGTTTTACCTCGGCCTTTACTTCCTACCTTATCAATTACTCTGTTGCCATTACTTTTAGAACACGTTGTGTTATGAAGGTTCGATACTTTTTTTCTGATTTAAAAACTTGTTGAAAAACTTGTTCGCTCAGACATGTTATTTGTGTAATTTTTGGAAGTTTCTTGCAGGAAATCATATTTTTTCGGAAAATTCTGTTTTACTGACTCAGTCTGGTTTAAAGGGACTGTAAGCGTGATTTCAAGTGATCCTCCATGCAAAGAGGGTAATGTAAATGTTGATATTTCTTATTCAAAATTAAAATAACCCTCCATTAAATGAGGGCGCATATGCCTGATTCACAACGGTACCCAGCCTTGCAAACAAAGTTGTCAACATTAACAATCGTTAACCGTGGAGAAAAAAGATAAGTGAGTCATCCTTGATCAGCCTGAGGTTGTAAGGGTACGGTTGTGAATCGAAGAGTCACTTTAAACTACGTCTACAGCCTCTTTAATACTTGCTTAAAGTAAAATTTTGCTTGATTGGTTTATATTTCGAGCTCTTGTGGTAACACGATACAGGGGGGAAAGAAATCTGAAACTTTCTTTGATAGTTAAAATTGTAAACTTTTTTGTTAGTTTTCGTATTTGCAACCACTTTGTCAACAAATTCTTTTACTCGCTTTTTTTGCCTTTTTGATCTGATATCATCATACCTAGCTGGGCTTGACCAAAATTATCTTTTGAAAAATTCAAGGCGCACTTGTGGTGTTTACTATTACATTTTAACCAAAAAGTAAACTCTCCTCCTTTTGGTAAGGACTTACTTTTTGTACAAATACGAATTCTCAGATTGAAATTATATTATCCACCGCAACTTATTATTTTAAAATTGTTTTGTGCATTTTGCGGAACGATGCGGAAATCAGATAATCCAAGAGCCTTTATTTGAAATCCTAGTCTTCCTTCGCATTTTACATGGATTTTTGTAACTTGAAAACTTCACGCATCGCTATTTGGAATTTTCTGACCAGTAAAACAGTCAGGGTTCAGGGCTGCAGATATTACTGCTAGAAAATTAATTTCAGGAAATGCAGTTGCTAGAAAATCAATCTATTCCTACATTTGTAATAGTTAGAATAGGGCTCATAGTGATTTAAAGGTCTGCAGGCTCTATGATAACTTCTAAAATGTTCATTTCCAGGACTAAACTAATTTTTATGAGTTAGTTAGATAAAATTAAAAGCAGGGAACTAAGATACTATTGCTGCAACTTTTATTAGCAGTCCGGATCAATGTGAAGTATCTGGAACAGAGTGCACTGTTTAGGCTTTTGCAAGGGAAACTTTCCCTGCACCCAGGTGCATCAGGTTATATTTCTCTATGACCCTAAATTGAGTTGTCGTAAATGAAGGTTACTCTGACATATGTCGACTTTTCCTCAATAATTCGAAACCAAGCGGATCTGTCCAATACAGAGGCGTATTCAGGGGGGGGGGCTATGGAGGCTCAGCCCCCTGGAAAAATTACCGACTGCGCCTCTAGATCTGTATCTGTCCTAATTGGTCAATTATATTCAGGATAGCCAGATAAAAAATATATTAGAATATCCAAATATCTAACCATGATTGATAAATAATATATGGATATAAAATATTTACTAATAAAACTCTACACTCTACACGGGTATCGAGGAAATCAGATTTCCACTGGGTATCGTGATCTGGAAGAAATTTCATCTTGATTTAGATCTTCATGAAATCATTCTTAGGGTTATAAATTTGAATTTAATCTGATCTTTATTTATTTTGATTCTAAAGACCTTATTGAAATACGTTTTGTAATGAATAGATAAATGTATAAACATTAAAGTAAATCTAAACACCACCCCCTCCTCGCTTCTAAGTTCCTTGTCCCCTATATTTAAATCTGTTGCCCCCCCCTTTCGACTTTCCCCCCATCAGCTCCCCATGGCCCGCCCTGTACACGGTGTTTGATCAATTCCAATTTTTCCCCAGAAAACTAACAAAATTCCAATAGTCTTATTTGTAAATCAGCTGTCGAGGGAAGCAAATAATAATATTTGTCAAACTTTCAACAAGTCTGAAATCTTAAAAATTAACAAAATAGGGTTTCTAGATGATTAGACGTTCTTAAAATTTCTAACAGTGTGTTTTCTGTTGTATTTATGATTTTTTTTCTTTTTCAAATTTTAAATTTTTTTAATTTCAGATGATTTGCCGGCAGCATGTCGGTTGACGAGAAGGAGTATAGACGATACCGGCCGAATTAGCCGGTCTTAAACCCCCCACAGTATCGGCCGAATCGCCGACTGGACGATTTATCGATGATGAATTGTTTAAGCATCCCATCGCGCGGACTGCGCCGATCGGTCGCGATTCTAACAATATGGACTTCATTCTGCTACCTCTTATTCAGGTTAGATGAGGGGTTATCGTACAGTACAGTACAGTACAGTACAGTACAGTACAGTACAGTACAGTACAGTACAGTACAGTACAGTACAGTACAGTATCGTACAGTAGTCGTCAAAATAAATTCAAAATGTAATTAATCTCAAAAAGTGTAAAAAAATATTTAAGAAGTAATTGTTATTTCTAATCAATCAGAAACGTAGAGCCATCACACAGATTCAACCTGCTAATTAGTCAGGGTCGACTTTGAAGTGTCGCAACGTCTTTGGCTTTGATTTTACCGCTCTAACTGACTTATGCTTTACTGTAGCCCTTTGCAATATACATTTTAGCAAAATAAAGCAGTTGTTGTTAGCTATGGTTTTCATCAAGTAATTGGCAAATTCTCATCAATTTTTGCTTGAGAGCGTGAAACCTTTAAATCACAGTTGCAATATATCCAACTTAGAAAGCAATGTTAGATAATTTTTAGGTCAAACTGTCTTCGTACATAACGTTATCGAAGTTCTTCTAGCAGTTCATATTTATTACTAATGAAAAACGCTATTTTAAAGTGAATTTTAAAATTCATTATATTTTGATGACAAATGTACAAATTAACTAAACTTTATCAACATCAAAAATGTGTGATAAATCCATTTTACCAAATTTACAATTGTGAATTGAACACAACAGTTATACACAACTTACATATTTTTAACTTACAATTTACATCTATCAACATAATATTTCATATAGGAAGTTAATCAGATAGGGGGGAGGGGGGTGTTCATTCAGCTCCAAGGGGAAGTCCCACCTGGAATGTCAAAAAGGTGAAGCCCCCCCCCCCTCAAGAAACTCCGGTATACGCCCCTGAGGATGATAATTACCATGATATTTGTCTTCATTAACTACAAAAAATAAAAGTTCACTTCTTAGCATTGTTGTTAAATATTTCTAAGAAAACATTAGACTGAGGAAACAGAAATATCAAGTTTAATTCAAAACTGGAAATGGCAAAATAGTAAGAATCCTAAAAATTACAAATTCTGCTGTGTCTATCTTTTTTAAGGAATGGTGTCGAAAATTATGTTGACTCTTTAATCGTTATGTTTAAGAATTCTTGTAACTTAAAATATATTTTATTTTAAACTTTAAAAAAGGTTTTAATTACTTCTTTTGTTAATCGCTAATGTAGATTTATTTAAATTGACAGTTTTGCTTAAAAAGTACATTAGTTTTTTACAAATTTTTTAGATAAACGAAATAAAACGAATTTTAGAAAATAAAAATGCCGCAATTAAAAACATACCAAGTACACGTATCCCATAGTTCAAAAGTAAGGATAAGAATTATCAATATTTTCGTTAGCATTGTGTCCACTATTAAGTTAACAAAGAAAAAATTGACGTATTAAAAAACATTTTAAACATGAGATGATTTTAAATGATGAAGGGGAAAAATTAAAAATATTGACATTAAATTTTACACAAAAACATCTGGTATTAAAATTAATTTAATGATCTAAAAAGCGATGAATTTTTTATTAAAATGGAAGTTTTTTACCATTATTTATATGTTTAACGCAAAAACTCAGCAAGTAAAACCCTGAATTTTTCATAAAAATTGGACATCCTTTTTAAAAAAAAATGATCATTATTGTTATTAAAAAAGGGGTTATTAGAGGGGGGGGGGGCACAACGTCTTCCTGAGGATGCAAAAAAATTCAGCGCGCTCACGCTACACTAAAGCTCTCGTACGCCCTGAGGGTTAACATAGAAAATACTATTCCTATTAATATTCCGCCACTACTCCGCAAACAATGCCGGAATTGAAAATGTAATTTGTTCAGATTAACTATTGGCCTTGTATTATGAAAAGTGCATATCTGATTGTTGTATTATGATCAAACATAACTTTATAGAACAATACCTTATTTAAAAACTAAACTCTGCTAATTAAACATTTTCAGTTTATTCATTCATTCATTCATTCGTTTACTTTTATGCACTTTTATAAACAACGGAAATGACATGTTTAATTGTTTAGGTCTCATCTGATTTAAGTTGCATGGCATTTCCGCCCCCCCCCCCTCCCCACAGCCCCGTTTATGTCATTAATATAATAAAGCTCTTCGCTCATGTATATATATATATATTTATAGCAATAGCCAATCTTAATAATCAATAGAACATGTTCTATAGACTTATTTTAAGAACATATATATTTATATATGTGTTTGATATAGCTGGCCAAAATGATTAGACCAAATTGACTCTATTTTCTGAGAAAACCCATGGTAACCATAGTAGGTGATATAGGCAAAAAAATGTTGGATATTTTTTGAAACTCGAGCAACGCCGGGCACTCCAACTTGTATTTCTACATTTTTGTTATTAAAACATTTTTTTTATAATGGATCTTAATGTTTCTACAAAAGACAGATATAAAAAGCGAATATTGAGTTTTAGGTATCATATTCTCCTTTTATGTATTATGTTACAATCAAATAATAAGTTGCAAAAATATTGATATAGATACCCTTTATCTCATTAGCTAGCAGAGGGGCAACCAGGATATGGGGGCTGAATATTGATATAGATACCCTTTATCTCATTAGCTAGCAGAGGGGCAACCAGGATATGGGGGCTAAATATTGATATAGATACCCTTTATCTCATTAGCTAGCAGAGGGGCAACCAGGATATGGGGGCTAAATATTGATATAGATACCCTTTATCTTTAGCTAGCAGAGGGGCAACTAGGATATGGGGGCTGAATATTGATATAGATACCCTTTATCTCATTAGCTAGCAGAGGGGTAACCAGGATATGGGGGCTGAATATTGATAAAGATACCCTTCATCTCATTAGCTAGCAGAGGGGTAACCAGGATATGGGGGCTGAATATTGATATAGATACCCTTTATCTCATTAGCTAGCAGAGGGGTAACCAGGATATGGGGGCTGAATATTGATATAGATACCCTTTATCTCATTAGCTAGCAGAGGGGCAACCAGGATATGGGGGCTAAATATTGATATAGATACCCTTTATCTCATTTACTAGCAGAGGGGCAACCAGGATATGGGGGCTAAATATTGATATAGATACCCTTTATCTCATTAGCTAGCAGAGGGGCAACCAGGATATGGGGGAGAATGTTAATTTTAGAATTATATCCTATAATTTTAAATTGGCGTACAGGGTTACCCTAGAATACCCTCCTCGCAATTCTTGAGTTAGTTAGAAATGTCTGTGGTTTCTATGAATGCAACAATTTATTCTATATTTACATAACCTTTGAGGCTAGATATTGTGCAGATGGAAAATTTGCGCAAACATCTGTTTGCTTTAATAGAAACAGACTACTTGCCTTACACTTTTCTTATTCTGAAATATGTCGTCGTACTTTGATGTTTCAAATCATAAGTCAGTTGAAACTTATAATTTGATGTATCAAACCATCAGTTTGCATTGTTATAAATAGTGATAAGAAAATTATTGCTATTGTTATCTTTTGGTATAATTTGTTTTTGCTCGGGAATCCAGTTTTGTCTGTAAACTAAGTTTTCCCTTCAAAATTGGACCTGCTAAACTTATAGTATTTATAAACCAAGCTAAGAACTTGGTTCTACCTAAAGCCCCAAGCAAAAGTCAAATTGGTTCAGGGGTTTCCGAGTTATGATCGGACACGAAAACAGATATTACTACTTTATACATAAATAGATATGCCAGCCCGTGCAGCATCAAGATTGATTGCTATCGATTGAAGAAGATGCTATAACCCATGACATCCCCCCTCTCCCTGGAATAAATTTACCTTGCACTCTGCACTCTGCACTCTGCACTCTGCACTCTGCACTCTGCACTCTGCACTCTGCACTCTACACTCTAACTTCAATTCTATATATTGTTTAGGGTCCCTGATGTTGAGATACGACCATCTTTATCCCTGCATAGTAGAGAGCTTCTAGCTAGACAGGAGAATGTTACTTCTCCCTCCAATATTCTACAATCTACTACAGAAACAACAGAGGTATTTAAGCAATGTACAGTGATAACCAGAAAATTCTGAAATAGGAAGACGACTTTTAGAATCAAATTATAGCTCTAAAAAGTCAAATCAGAAGGGGAAACAGACCCATTTCACGAAATTTCGAAAAAAGTATTTCGAAATAAGTTGTCTTTTTATTATGACGGTCAATTTAACATTTTCGAGATTTTAAGTGAAATTGATATAATAAACGTATAAACGTAAAAGCTTTTTAAATTTTCTTTATTCAGAACTGTTTACTGAAATAAGTTAAGCTTTTGCTTAATGTTTCGTTAGAATACATTATTATTATTATTTCAACCTAACGTAATAATACCTTAGTGGATAGTTTGAAACTTTTTTCAACAGATTTTATAATTATGTTTATGAAAACAATTAACTAATGAATATTGGTGACATTTGTTAGATATCTAGAGCGAGTAATTTTTCAGTTGGATATTCATAGCGAGTAATTTTTGTGTTGGTTATCTAGAGCAGAGAATTTTTGTATTGGATATCCAGAGTGAGTAATTTTTGTGTTGGATATCCAGAGCTGGGAATTTTTGTATTGGATATCCAGAGCGTGTAACTTTTGTGCTGGATATCCAGAGCAAGGAATTTTTGTGTTGGATATTCAAAGCGAGTAATTTTTCTGTTGGATATCCAGAGCGAGTAATGTTTGTGTTGGATATCCAGAGAAAGAAATTTTTCTGTTGGATATCCAGAGCTAGTAACTTTTGTGCTGGATATCCAGAGCAAGGAATTTTTGTGTTGGATATCCAGAGCGAGGAATTTTTGTGTTGGATATCCAGAGCAAGGAATTTTTGTTTTGGATATTCAAAGCGAGTAAGTTTTCTGTTGGATATCCACAGCGAGTAATTTTTCTGTTGGATATCCAGAGAAAGAAATTTTTCTGTTGGATATCCAGAGCTTGTAACTTTTGTGCTGGATATCCAGAGCAAGGAATTTTTGTGTTGGATATTCAAAGCGAGTAATTTTTCTGTTGGATATCCAGAGCGAGTAATGTTTGTGTTGGATATCCAGAGAAAGAAATTTTTCTGTTGGATATCCAGAGCTAGTAACTTTTGTGCTGGATATCCAGAGCAAGGAATTTTTGTGTTGGATATCCAGAGCGAGGAATTTTTGTATTGGATATCTAGAGCAGAGAATTTTTGTATTGGATATCCAGAGCGAGTAATTTTTGTGTTGGATATCCAGAGCGTGTAATTTTTATGTTGGATATCCACAGCGAGTAATTTTTCTGTTTGATATCCAGAGCAAGGAATTTTTCTGTTTGATATCCAGAGCAAGGAATTTTTCTGTTTGATATCCGGCTTAGCCAATGAATTCAGCGGCTGAACTCGATATCCAGGGAACAAATTTTATAGATGAAGGGATTAAAAGTCTTAAATCGGAGAATCTGATTAGAATTAAAAACTGATTATTTTCAATTGTGGTTTCTCTACAAAAGTGACCGCAGTATAAAACATAATGGAACTATCAAAGCTAATTACTTTAGATATTAGGATAAGGAAAACATATTTCAGATTATTGATCGGAACAGGTTTCAAGGACACCGTTGTGAATCGGACATTGACATCTGCATTTACGCTTTCAGCTCCTTTAAAATCAATTATGCGGCTTAGGTTCAGCCCTTAACAATCTTCGGCTTAGCCAATAGGAATCCTAGACTAAACCAGAGATCCAAAAGTTTTAGTCTCTGTTCCTTCTATCTAGTTATCTGTCTAATCCAGGTGAATGTGTTTGAAGCGCAGCCTTATATCGATCGATCTCCAAAAATGAACGAAACTGAGAAAGCAATAAAACTTCAGGTTGATTTTTCATAATAAATTTTTTTTTTAAATAAAATTTTTTAAAAAAATAAATATTTCTGTAAATATCTTGAAAAACAATGATTTTAAAAAACGTAGTCTTTACATTACTTTCTTTGAAAGTGATAATATATAATTCATATAAAAGGGAACATTTTCTATTCTTCTAAACCTTGCATCTTTGCAACCTAATGAACTTTAAAATTTCAAGCTGTCAATTCTATTAAATTTACTAATCAAAGCTTTAAATATGAAGATATCGGGGTTAGAAAACCATTGTTTGTGGCGAGTGTTCAATTTCTTTAAATATAAAATTAAATATTTTTAGGTTCAAATCCCCAATCTGCCATTGGTCTACTGGTTTCAAAATAGAAAAAACAATCCAAGGAAAAACAACAAAATATTTTTTAATAAGATTTTTCTTTGAAAATTCTGCAGTTTAGTAAAAATATCTCATTTAATTTTTTGTAAGTTTAAAATTATTACTTGGCAAAAAGAAAACATTGAAGGTAAAAATATATATGAAAGCTCTTTAAATAAAGGGCCATTTAAACCACGTGAATTTACCCTTTAAATATTTATTTTTGCTTTCAGTATGATAAATGTGGGGTTAATTTTCTTAATTCTAGTTAAACATATTGCTGAAAATATAATTGTTGGGCTACGAGGCCATCTTGAAGTTTACATGTTTACTATTTAATTGTAAACAACTGTCTTCACTAAAATGTTGCCAATTATAACATCTTTTGTTACTTTGGTTAAATTTTTATGATTTGGGGAATAATTTAACTTTTACATTTTCTGTATGCAAATTCATTCACAAGTTAGTTACAGAATTTGTACTTAGCTTACTCCTAATAATATTATTTTTCGACGCATTCATATATAGTTAATATTTCATAATATTTTTGATTTTGTTTTTTTAAATTAATTTTCGCTGGCGCTGGATTTTCGAACATTCCTGGAAAATATGAAAATGTCGTCTTCATTATCAAAAGTCCTCGAAACGGGAAAAAATATAACTCTCAGATCATGCAAAATACAAAATATTGTGAAATATCAACTATTTACGAATGCGTCGAAAAATAATCGATGACTATTGTTTGCAATATCTGAATGATTTGTTTGGAATTAAATTGATTTTTTTACGATCCGAATTGAATATTGCATCTTTCTGAATTTGTATGAACACTACGTTCTTCGGTGTGAGTCGTTTTTAACAATTTTCTCCTTATAGACGCAACAGATAGAAGTAAGATTACTAGCGATCAAAAGCGCTTTTTTATCGCATTAAGCCTATACCCCCTTTCATTTTTCGCGAACACTCCCTTTAACTGAAACGTTAAAGCGTAAAAATAATAAAACGTTTCCATTTCTATAAACAATTTAACAAATTCCTATAAAAGTAAGTTTTTAGTTAAGTAAATGCTATTTAACCAAGGCAAGTTCTAAAGAGACGGCATTCTTTAACATCTCTTTGAGATCAATAAAGACGCATTTCTTTGCACTGAAAACTGATGGAAAATCTCTCCATCAGTTGACCCCCCGGTAACCCAGGTTAATAAAAAAAAAACAATCTAAATCAATCGAATTAATATTATGTTGTTTTTCCAGCAAGAATTCATCATGTGCCAAGTATCCCAGCGTCTATGATATTCATTTTAATAATATTTACTGGCAACAAACTGATACAAGTAACGGAACTTTCTTCCTCTACGCAGCTTATTTAGACGTCAGGTAGATTATATGTAGCATATTTTGACGTCAAGAAGGTTCTACCCAGCTTATTTAGAAGTTAAGTAGGTTCTACACAGATTATTTAGAAGTCAGGTAGGTTCTACACAGCTTATTTAGACGTCATATAGGTTCTACGCATCTTATTTAGACGTTGGATAGGACACAGCTTAATTACACGTTAGGTATGTTCTACACAGATTATTTAGTTGTCATGTAGGTTCTACGCAGCTAAATTTGTCGTCAGGTAGATTATACACAGCTTTTTTAGACGTCAGGTAGGTTCTACACAGCTTACTTAGACGTCAGGTAGGTTATACGCACCTTATTTAGACGTCAAGTAGGTCCTAAGCAGTTCATTTAGAAGTCAGGTATGTTCTACGCAACTTATTTAGACGTCAGGAAGATTTTGCGCACAATTATTTTGGTTTAGTATTAGAAAAGATCTGACTACTCTCTAAAAAAATATTATCTCTTTATCACAGAGTTACAGGTCGTCATTAACATTGCATACTTTGTGGGTAAACTTGTAAATCAATCTATTAAGATTATCATTTTAATTTACTTTATTTTAGAGCTTCTAACAGGTTGGGGCCCACTATACGGATTCTAACCATGATCAACAGAATAGAACCTACGGTAAGTACATCCATTCTCATATTTGTGAACAAACAATATTTGTAAACAAACAATATTTCTAAACATACAATATTTGAAAACAAACAATATGTGTAAACAAACAATATTTGTAAACAAACAATATTTGTAAACAAACAATATTTGTAAACAAACAATATTTGTAAACAAACAATATTTGTAAACAAACAATATTTGTAAACAAACAATATTTGTAAACAAACAATATTTGTAAACAAACAATATTTGTAAACAAACAATATTTGTAAACAAAAACTTATTGAAATTAAACAATGGATCATCCTTATTCTTTTTTACTTAAAATATCAGATTACAATCCATTGTGCAAAAAACAAAAATAATTCATTAAGAATGCAATTTCTAAAGAAAAAACAATCTAGAAAATTCACTTTTTGTCAAAAATTTTTTTTTGTTGACAGTGCTCTTAATTGTTATTGGACCGAAGTTATTTTTTTATAAAACCTGCAGGTTCGAGTCTTTTTATAGAGCAGGTTCGAGTCTTTTTATAGAGCAGGTTCAAGCAGGTTCGAGTCTTTTTATAGAGCTGGTTCGAGTCTTTTTATAGAGCAGGTTCGAGTCTTTTTATAGAGCAGGTTCGAGTCTTTTTATAGAGCAGGTTCGAGTCTTTTTATAGACAGGTTCGAGTCCTTTTAGTAATCATAATTTAGCTTTATCACGTACGCGTTGTTTAAAAATAATAGTACTTAGGTGTTTTTATGAATGGTTTATGCACTTGTCTTGAGTTTTTTCTAGATAGAACTAGAAGCTTTCTACAAAACAGAAATAATAAACGGTTTAGACTTTAGAGCATAATTTAACATTATAACGCGATGATTACTTGAAAGCTCTGCTATAAATCAATTTAGCATGAAGTGTGCGTAAATACTAAATGCACAATAGTTGTTAAATTAAAGGAGTTAAATCTTTGCCACAAACTCAAATATTCTAATTCATATATCGTTGAAACTTGATGGTGGAAACCTTTAATAATTCAAACTAAAATTTTTTGATCAATTGAAAGGCAAAGGTTCATTTCCTTTCTTTCCGTTTAAAAATAAACAACATCAAATTTTATTTTAAGGTTAAAACTCACTGTCAGCTGTGGTTCAATTCGACAAATACACCAATTTTTTCCAAGGTTTGTTATAACTTAATTTAATAATTTTAAAAAGTCACCAAAAATATTGATTTTTAAAATCTAAATTCTATAACCTTGCTAACTCAATTATGCTTTTTGTAGCCCTAGACCCGTATATAATCTGTGTCCTATATTTAGGTTCTTGAGTACAAGTATATTTGGTATAAGAAATATTATATTCAGGTTCTTGAATACAAGTATATTTGGTATAAGAAATGGGGAAACTACAAGCAAGGAATATTTCAACCCTATCTCTTAGCATGTCAAATACCTAAGGTAGGGTTTACACTAAAGGACAATAAAATGTCCACGCTGAACTAAAAATAAGTTTTGCATTGTCTGTTTTTAATTGCTAAAATAAAACAAGAAACTTGAAGAAAAATTGGATCACAAAACTTGAATTTTCGCTGTTTCCTTAAATAATATCGAGGGTTTTAGCTACATTGATATTTTATGAAAGGTGCCATAAAATATCATTTGATGCATTGTCATTTGTTGAGAGTCCTTTTTCAGTTTATCTTTGTTTGAAAAAAAAACGTTAAAGGAATTGAGTCTTTGCCACAAACTCTGATTTTCTTTTCCCTATATCTTTACAAAAAAATGTCATAGACCTTAGATATTTCAAACTAAAATGAACTATGTTATTTCAAAGAATATAAGTTTGAAAAATCAAAGGTTTACACAATCAGGTTGCAAAGATACAGAGATTTATAAATTTGAGTTTGATTTTTATCTTTTTTTTAAGACTTCTACAGATACACAGAGTGTTCGATATTATGATGATAATTTCGTTTAACAAAGACCTTCAGAGACTTCGAAAGAATTTATAAGACGTTGTCTTGACAATTAAACTTATATCTTAGGAGTTGTCAAATAAATAGCCATGAAATGTGCGGGGACAATTTTAAATAGTTCCACATACTAAATTTCTGTATCATTTTATTATTCGTAGGTTAAAAACAACAACAACAATAAATTCTTTCGATATCTCCAAAGTTCTGGGTTAACTAGACTCAATTTCCATGGTTTTGGGACACCCTGTAGAAAAAAAAACTATTTTAAAATATTTTTTATTATTTAAGTCGCACTGGGGCGAGGTGCCAGCATCTGTTTCTATAGTAGAGAAGGAATGTGATGATGCTACTAATAATATTAGGTTATTATCATTTATTAGTAATATTTTCTATTGAGAAATCAGAATTTTTTAGAGAAGAAATCGAAATTTTTCAATGGAGACACATCGGAGACCCCTCTAATTAAATTGATTTTTCGGAAACCAAAAATATTTCTTCGGAGACTTTCTCAACTATAAAAAAAACAATATTTAACACTCATCATAAAATAAAAGACTTCATTAACGATCACACATTGTTTACGAAAAAGACGTTAATGAACGATATAATTAACATTTACAATTAAAAAACGGAAAGAGCATTTTTGAACTGAAAGATTTTGAAATGACAGAATGTGGAGAGTCAGGGTCCTCGGTAAAGAACATTGAACGAAGGCTTTCAAAAAATCAAGAACGTACACACTACACAGCCCTAGTATAGCTTGTTCCATTCACGAACAAGCTACTGTGTAACAATGAGAAAGAAAAGTGTTAAATTCTGACAATTGCCTTCATTATCTCTGTAATAAGTCCTCAAGTCACTTTTATGAAAACACAAGAATGGTCAGCTGTTGATCCGATGAAATTTTCAAAATATTTATTTGTTGTCTCGTCTTGAAATGTTCATTGGTAAATGATGATAAAACACAATTAACTTGCTACTCAGTTTTCACTCAATAAGTTTCGATAAAAACCTAATGATAAAAGTTAAATCAGTAAAACTTTGGTTAAATTACTATTTGTCAGGGCCGGGGGTAAAACTCAAATAATCACAACTCCTTAAAAAATATTTTTTTTGACTAAATCTTCAGCCGACAATATTATATATATTATAAAAATTAGAAAATGAAGCATGTTCTCAAGAGGAATTGATCAAAGGGGTTTTCTAGTAAAAATTGTTGACAAAATTGATATTTTGTGTGATATATGATATCTTAACAAAAAAATTGAAGATAAACAACATGAATTTTGATCATAAGAGAAAATATATGCAAAATAAACAAACCTGTTAAATTGTATTACATATTTTTCTCTTAGGATAGAAACATTGCAACGTTTAATAAAAGAAAAACTTTATCAGAATACAAGTATTTTATAAATTAAAAACCACAAAGTTAAGTTATAAAGAGAAAAGGATGATCTATTGCTAAAATAAAGCTAAAAGTTCGATTTTGTTACTCGTCACATTTATAGAGAAAAAAAAATATGTTTAAACATTATTTTTAGATGTCATAAGGATATTTTCTAGGCATTAAGGAGTGATATTTGAGAACGATAAAGTGAGCAAATGTAAAAAAAAATTCAACTTTAAAGGAGTAAAAATACTGCAACTTAAAGGGAGTGTTCGCGAAAAATGAAAGGGGGTATAGGCTTAATGCGATAAAAAAGCGCTTTTGATCGCTACTAATCTAACTTCTATCTGTTGCGTCTATAAGGAGAAAATTGTTAAAAACGACTCACACTGAAGAACTCAGCGCCCATACAAATTCGGTATTTTTAAGTTTCCCTTTAATTTGGAGGTTTACAGAGTTACACGATCAGGTTGTAAAGATTTGAGGATTAGCTTATGCATTTAGAGGGACTGTAAACGTACTTTTAAGTGACCAGTATGCAAAGATTGCAATGTCCGATTTACAATGGTACTCATAAAAGGTTTGTCTGATCAAGTATGAATAAGATATGTAGGATTAAAACATATCTTAAATGATTATTTTCACTTTAAATGACCCTTATAGTCTCTGTAAAGAATATGATAGATTGTAAATGGTGTTAAGTTAATGTCAAGGGAAAAAACAAAAACTAAAAATCAACCAAATGATATTTTTAAAATATTTACTTCAGGGTGATCTACAACAAACACGAGGGCCCAAAGAAGAAGTTTGCCGTGTGTGTCAAAGGATTAGATTTCCCAGATGACGACCTCTCCGTTAGATTAGGTAATCAATCAATTAATCAGTCAATCAATCAAATTTATGTTAATTGATGATTAAATAGAAATATACCATCAAAAATAAAACTAAGATTTCTCGCCTCAAACCCAGCTCAGGTGTGGTTGAAACTTTGATATATTAAGCTTTAAATATGTCATTTACCATAGCATAGTTTGAAATATCAAAGGTTACTGTATGACACCTAAGCTAGGAACTTTAGAAAGGAAAACCTTAAATCCCGACAGCTTAATCCAAATATACACTATGTAAACTTTTAATTTTAGTCCGTAATCCACTCTTTTTCTCTCACTTTGGAAATCTGTTTTCTCCAATGAGACTGCAGGAATATAGTTCGTAAATTGTATTGACCAATGACAGCCTTGAAAAAAAATTCTATCTGCTAAAGGGAGACCTCCGCAATTGCTAACAAATAGAGAATTTGTTGTCAGCCATTTTGTAAATTAATCGGTGAAGAAAAATATGCAATAATACGTTTGAGATTTTTTAAAACCAAATAAATGGGTTAGACAATAAGTGAAGGCCCTTCCAGTCAAGAAAACAAACAAATCTGGTGTTCCTAGGATCAAATTTGTTGATCTAAATATTTAATATCGAGACCAACATAAAATCGAGATCATGTTTTTCTCGAGATTAGCAAAAAGAGAGGATTAAGTATTAATCCTGATATACACCCTTCTTAAGTTTCCCGCTCAGGTTGCAAAGATTAAAGGTTAAGAATTTTATGTTTTTGTTGAATTAGCTAGAAAAGGTTCAATTACATATTGATTTTTCTGATTTGTGCACTTTTAACGGATTTTTTTACATTTTTAAAATCCCTTTTGTCGGACAGAACATAACTTGATTTTGATGTTTTAGTTGAATGGTTGGAACTGTTGAATACTCTTGGAGCAGAGAAAATATTTATGTATAATCTAGAAGTCCATCCAAATGTGACGAAGGTGAGTAGCCATTTTTTTGTCATTTTATTTTTCTTTCAATGGAATTTTTGGGTTCCTTAAAATATTTCAGCCCATTCGGTCCAGCCGTTTGGCCAGCTATAGCTGACATATAAATATGTATAGTCTAAGTGTATAGATACAAATATAAATATATGAGCGAAGATCTCTTTTATATAGATGTGTTACGATCTAAACCTATTCACATTTATGATGTTAAATTGTTTTTAAGGTCCATTTCTCTGATTAATAGATTTGAAATTGAAATTAAAGTTTAAGGTTCTGTAAGATAAATTTGATCAATCCTCCATGCACAGATGGAATTACCCATTCACAACAATACCCTTGAGGCCTTTATATAATAAATAGATAAGGAAAATTATGTCGTTTTTCTTAAGTGTTTTTTACATAATCGGGCATCTTTGCTTACATGTACCTTTAATAAAGAAAAAGTTTTAAAACAATGTTTATTTTAGGTTTTAAATCACTATGTAGAGAAGGGTATTGTAGATTTGACACAGTTATCGTTGCCAGGTATAATACAGAGATAAACATTATACATTCAAATATTTGTCATCTTCGCTCTTATCAATTTTGCTGGAACAAAAAGGTTGAAAATTAAACTTTCTAAAATGGTTCACCTCTAAACTCTGGACTCCACAAAAGAAAAAATGCATTTTGTATGCCTAGTAACATTTTTTTCTAGGTTATCAACCGAACCTGCCTGGGCTGCAACATCTTTACCTCAAGAGTAAACTGAATAACAAGCGGCAAAATGAACTTATTCCGTACAATGATTGTTTGTACAGAAATATGTACAGGTAAGTGTTGAATATGTACAGGTTAGTGTTGAATATGTACAGGTAAGTGTTGAATATGTACAGAGTAGTGTTGAATATGTACAGGGTAATGTTGAATATGTACTGGGTAGTGTTGAATATGTACAGTACAGGGTAATGTTGAATATTTACAGGTTAGTGTTGAATATGTATAGGTTAGTGTTTAATATTTACAGAGTAGTGTTGAATATGTACAGAGTAGTGTTGAAAATGTACAGGGTAATGTTGAATATGTACAGGTTAGTGTTTAATATGTACAGGTTAGTGTTTAATATGTACAGGTTAGTGTTGAATATGTACAGGTTAGTGTTGAATATGTACAGGGTAGTGTTGAATATGTACAGAGTAGTGTTTAATATGTACAGAGTTGTGTTGAATATGTACAGAGTAGTGTTGAATATGTACAGGTTAGTGTTGAATATGTACAGAGTAGTGTTGACTATGTACAGGGTAGTTTTGAATATGTTTTTTTTTACATTTTAAATTTTAAGATACGAGTATGTTGCCCTCCTGGATATCGACGAGGTCATCATGCCTCTGCAGCACAACTCCTGGCAGGATATGATGGAGGAAGTCATCAAGGCAAGCCTCAAGGTAAACAAGAAAACAAGGTATTATTGCTACAGTTAATAGTGATGAATATCACATTTTTTAAAACTAAAGATCTTCAGACTTTCAAATGTTCCCAAAAAATATGAGAATTTCTTAAAATTGTAAAAATGTTTATATTTAACATCAGTTTAACCCCTTTAAGTTAAGATTAATGCAAAAACGAAGTAAATTTTAGCACGATAGCTTTTTGAAAAGTTTTTTGTATAGCCTTTTGAAGGAACAAAAGCATTAAATCACTAGACCCAAAACTATTAATTTGTTACATCAAAAGCACATATCATTGTAAAATTTTCTGTATATATATATATTTTAAGGGAGGGAAAAAGGGGAAAGGGGGGGGAACTTAATCAAATAGTTTTTACTAAAACCAAGAGTTCTTTTCCAAAAATTTCATTTACCAAGGGATATCTTTTACAACGACATTTTACCAGGAGTATTATTGTAAAATTATGCTTTACAAGGGAGCTATTTAAAGGAGAGTTTATATTACTAAATCAGATTTATGAAAGGGGTTTGAACTATACAAGATCCTATTCAACCAATTAGATCTCAGTGGTTCAAGAGAAGTAGTTAAACCACAGTCATAGCTAGTTCAACTTAAACTCTCTACTGTTCTTAAAAGGACTGTAAACGTAATTTCAAGTTAAACCCCCACGCAAAGATGGCATTGCCCGATTCACAACGGTATCCTAATAATCTTTTGCTGATCAATTATGAATTAGATATCAATGTATATAATGTTGAAAGCTGATTATTTTCAAGGATGGGTTCTTTACTAAAATGACTTGCGCATTTACTGCATTTCTACGCATAGAAGTTATCAAAAATTAACACTTTAAATCTTCCACATTATTGATCAGATAAAGATTTTTGTGAATTTGGCATTGTCAAGTTTGTCTGTAGGGTCACTTTTAATTACGCTTTTACAGTCCCTTAAATTTTTCTATTCTGCACTGTTGATGTTTAGGTGAAGAATGAGAGTAGAGCCAGTTATAACTTCAGGAATGTTTACTTTATGGATGAAATGTTGGAGAGTAATAATCATGGACATTTCAAAGATATTCCTCCTTACCTACATATGCTGCAACATGTTTACAGGTAGAATTATATCATTTCAAGGATATTCCTCCTTACCTACATATGCTGCAACATGTTTACAGGTAGAATTATATCATTTCAAGGATATTCCTCCTTACCTGTATATGCTGCAACATGTTTACAGGTAGAATAATATCATTTCAAGGATATTCCTCCTTACCTGCATATGCTGCAACATGTTTACAGGTGGAATAATATCATGTCAAGGATATTCCTCCTTACCTACATATGCTGCAACATGTTTACAGGTAGAATAATATCATTTCAAGGATATTCCTCCTTACCTGCATATGCTGCAACATGTTTATAGGTGGAATAATATCATGTTAAGGATATTCCTCCTTACCTACATATGCTGCAACATGTTTACAGGTAGAATTATATCATTTCAAGGATATAGCTCCTTACCTGGATATGCTGCAACATGTTTACAGCAGGTAGAATATATATCAGTAGGCTGTTGAGTGCTTCGCGATCGGGTGTCTTATTTTTTTCTCTCAATCCAGGGTTACAGTTACAGCGCACTTCGCTTTTTTAACGTTTAAATGTTGCTTTCAAGCCGTCAGTTTTCTTCATTTCTGCTAAACTAAAAAATCACGGATTTTCGTGATGTCAATGATTCTTAACATGTATTTCAAAACCGCCATTTTATAGTGAAAAAATTGTCAAAGTCTACCAGCTATAATCCTCCCCCCTGGCCCTGGGGCATATGAGTTGCCGCAAAAAAATGGACTCTTTCGGTTTAACCGTATTTACGTTTATTGGATAAAATAGACAGACAAACAAGCAATGTGTATGTATCACAATGTAAATTCTAATTGGTTTATCTGTTTCTATAGCTAGTGGGTTTCTAATAAAATCGAAATTTATTATTTTTTTATTTTGAAAAGTCGTTATTATTCCTTGCTAATTTGGCCTGATTGGTTACACAGTTTTTACTTGTAATGGCTAATAACAGTTTAAACTTGTAACGGCTAATAACAGTTTAAACTTATAACGGATAATAACAGTTTAAACTTGTAATGGCTAATAACAGTTTAAACTTGTAACGGCTAATAACAGTTTAAACTTGTAACGGCTAATAACAGTTTAAACTTGTAACGGCTAATAACAGACCAAAAAAATGATTTGTTACTTCTTTCTTTACTTGTATATATGTTTATTCTAAGACAATAATTAAATCTTATAATAGATTTTCAATTAGGATCATGGTAAACATTTTATATTTTCCGAAACATTATAAAATTTTATATTTTCCGAAACATTATAAAAATTTTATATTTTCCGAAACATTATAAAAATTTTATATTTTCCGAAACATTATAAAGTTTAATATTTTCAGAAACATTATAAAAATTTTATATTTTCGGAAACATTATAAAAAATTTTATATTTTCCGAAACATTATAAAAATTTTATATTTTCCGAAACATTATAAAATTTTATATTTTCCGAAACATTATAAAGTTTAATATTTTCAGAAACATTATAAAAATTTTATATTTTCGGAAACATTATAAAAATTTTTATATTTTCCGAAACATTATAAAATTTTATATTTTCCGAAACATTATAAATTTTTATATTTTCCGAAACATTATAAAAATTTTATATTTTCCGAAACATTATAAAATTTTTTATTTATTTTAGAAGTTCTAATTACACGAAACCAGGACAGTATGTTAAATGCTTCCATAACCCAGAAAAGGTAAAAAAGAAACTTTAATGAAAAAGATTTTTTAAAATAAAATCTAAATAAAATCTTAATAAAAAAGGAATTGAACACAATTCATAGTTTGAAATATTTAAGGTCTATGTCTAATAAAAACATAATTTCCAATAAAGACATAATTTCAAATTAAGGCATATTTCCAATAAAGACATAATTTCCAATAAAGGCATAATTTCCAATAAAGGCATAATTTCCAATTAAGGCATAATTTTTTATTAAGGCATAATTTCCAATAAAGGCATAATTTCCAATAAAGGCATAATTTCCAATAAAGGCATAATTTCCAATTAAGGAATATTTCCAATTAAGGCATAATTTCCAATTAAGGCATAATTTTTTATTAAGGCATTAATTCTTCACAATCACTTCCCCCTGGGCTGCCTGGGAGGCGTATGTACATCATATCCTGTAGAACCGGAACTAGCACATTTACAGCACTACAGGTACAAGAGCACTCTCCGCAATATAATTCATTTATATACAGTTATTTATGATGTTTGAATGTTTGTTTAATTTAGGTCAGACTGTGTTTCTACGCTAAAAAAGTCGTGTGTGGACAGTTTCAAAAAATATAGTGTGAAAGACACGACTATTTGGAAATGGAAAGACCAGTTGATAAGTAAGACGACATCAGCGCTTCTGAAAATGGGATTTTTTGGCGGGAAAGGAGAAAACCGGTTAAAGGAATTAACCGAGGCATCTCCCGTCAACGCTGTGCCCTAAGATGTTCCTTTATTTGGGACCCTGTAGTTAATGTGCCGTAAATGTATCAAAATGGTAATTTCATGATGTACAAAAATGTACTTCGTACACTAGATGTAACTGTACACAATGATCCTGTGACTTCAGTAGCAGTTCAAGTTTTGTACAAAAAAAGGTTGTACAGTATTTGAACAACTATGCAACGTATGCCATGAAAGAAGACTATTGGTGGTTGTGATTATCAAAAATTTTATACTAAATTTCATATTAGATTTTGTTACTCATTTTTGCCCTGGCAAATTATCGAAAGCAACCATTAAAAAATTATAATTGTATTTTTTAAACAATAATGTATGCTCGAAAAGAAATCGTATGCGCGTAAAATGGGAACTTTTTCAACCAGTTTTTTAATTAAATTTTTTTTTGATGTTGATGAAAAGGCAATTTGCGAATTTGAATCTTAAACTTCAATATTAAAAATCCAAAAACTATAGAATTTAACAGAAAGTCCTGTATTTTTTTGGACTGTATACAAAGTAAAGAAAAGTAAAAAAAAGCCTCTTAAGGAACTATTCACTTCATAAAAAACCGATATTATTTTTAACCATATCGTGTTCCTAATCTCTTGCCGTGAAAATATTCTCGATAATTTACGATAATTTCGTTATTTATAATTCTTCCTTTAGTTGATATACTACATATTCATACAGTATTATACAGATTTTATCTTTTGTGATAAATATTTTTACCAATTTTAGATAATTAAATAAAAGTTTTTTGTAATTTTTTGTTTTGAGGGGAAATTATGTTTATAGAGCGATAAAGTCGTAGAGGGGGGAAAAGTGTTACTTAACCTTATTTATTCTCGCTGCCACACCATAATTAAAATACAATTGTTGTTGCTATCATTTCTTCGTTTGCAACAATTAATTGACCAAATCGAGTCAAAGAAAAAATGTTGCTGGAAATAAATAGATTTCTCGAAAGTTGTAGCCTTCTTCAATTTATCCTTATAATTTATAAACCAAATTAAAATATAAATGTTTAAAATTGAACTTTACTTTGTATAGTTTATAATGATAAGAATGCATAATTAAATAATTGTTTTATTAAAGAACAAAAAATATAAATGTTTAAAATTGAACTTTACTTTGTATAGTTTATAATGATAAGAATGCATAATTAAATAATTGTTTTATTAAAGAACAAAAAATATAAATGTTTAAAATGAGATTACTTACTGCGGTAAGAAACTGAAAACTCTGGAATTTGAAGATGACTTTCAGACTCAAGTATTACTTTGATTAGTCAAATGAAAACGAGACACAGCAATTGTGCAGTGTATACAGACCCATATAATAAGTGATTTAATTAGTAACTAGTTAAACTGTTTCCTAAATATCGTCTACTAATTGCACAGCTCTCTGGTTCTCACTCTACCAAAATGTCGCAACAAATTTTCTAAAAAATATTCTGAGAAAATGCTTTGAGCGAAACAGTTCTGCCTTTGACTTAATTATGTCCTTTCTGCATCTTTTATGTCCTTGCATCAGTTCATGTCCCCTGCATCAGTTCATGTTCCCTGCATCAGTTCCTTTCCTCTGCATCTGTTCATGTCCCCAGCATCAGTTCATGTCCCCAGCATCAGTTCATGTCCCTAGCATCTGTTCATGTCCCCTGCATCAGTTCATGATTCCTGCATCTGTTCATGTTCCTTGCATCTGTTCATGTTCCCTGCATCTGTTCATGTTCACTGCATCTGTTCATGTTCCGTGCATCTGTTCATGTTCCTAGAATCTGTTCATGTTCCTTGCATCTGTTCATGTTCCCTGCATCTGTTCATGTCCCCTGCATCAGTAATTTCCCCCTGCATCTGTTCATGTCCCCAGCATCAGTTCATGTCCCCTGCATCAGTTCATGATTCCTGCATCTGTTCATGTTCCTTGCATCAGTTCATGTTCCCTGCATCTGTTCATGTTCCCTGCATCTGGTCATGTTCCTTGCATCTGGTCATGTTCCCTGCATCTGTTCATGTTCCCTGCATCTGTTCATGTTCCTTGCATCTGTTCATGTTCCCTGCATCAGTTCATGCTCCTTGCATCTGTTCATGTTTCCTGCATCTGTTCATGTTCCTTGCATCTGTTCATGTTCCCTGCATCTGTTCATGTTCCTTGCATCTGTTCATGTTCCCTGCATCTGTTCATGTTCCTTGCATCAGTTCATGTTCCAATTGGATCTAATCATGTTCACTGCATCTGTTCATGTTCCTTGCATCTGTTCCTGCATCAGTTCATGATTCCTGCATCAGTTCATGTCCCCTGCATCAGTTCATGATTCCTGCATCAGTTCATGTCCCCTGCATCAGTTCATGATTCCTGCATCTGTTCATGTTCCCTGCATCTGTTCATGTTTACTGCATTTGTTTATGTTCACTGCATCTGTTCATGTTCCCTGCATCTGTTCATGTTCCTTGCATCTGTTCAGGTTCACTGCATCTGTTCATGTTCCCTGCATCTGTTCTTGTTCCTTGCATCTGTTCATGTTCCTTGCATCTGTTCATGTTCCTTGCATCAGTTCATGTTCCAATTGGATCTAATCATGTTCCCTGCATCTGTTCATGTTCCTTGCATCTATTCATGTTCACTGCATCTGTTCATGTTCCCTGCATCTGTTCATGTTCCTTGCATCTGTTCATGTTCACTGCATCTGTTCTTGTTCACTGCATCTGTTCATGTTCACTGCATCTGTTCATATCGTCAGGGTAAGCTTACAAGTTTAACAATGTCAACACAATATTAGTCAAAAAAAAAAAAAAAATTCTAAAACATCAAAGATTATTGAATTACATTTATTTCTAAAATGTAATTTTAAAGGAAGATAACGAAAAACAATATTCCCTCACAAATGTCGTCTTCCTTTGAAATTATCAACCATATAATAAAAATGCTAGACATTGATAATTTTAATGCTTTTTTAACAAAAATACATTAGTTAACGATCGGCAAGTTTCATAACGCTACTTTTAATGTAACATTGTGTTTAAATGGTTAAAACACTACAGGGGGGCGAATTGATGCATGACACCAGGCCTTGATTCTTAAGAACATTTTTAATCTTCAATATAGTATACTAGTATACGTCTCATAGTTACTCCCGCCGTTTACCCGCACTTGGTCGTAAATTGCAATTTTAGCTTTTTTCCCTATAAAAGTTGACCCACTCAATCTAGATTCTTAAACCAAGCTATAACATTTCTGTGACTCTCCCGAGTTTCTGCAATCAACGCTTGAGGAAAATCGGTCTGGGGTTCCTGAGTTATGATCGGACAAACAAACAGAGAGACAAACATAGATTACATCTTTTATATGTATAGATACATACATTTTTATAGTTTGAAAATATTTAAGAATTTTCATAAAGCGCGAAAAAATCCTGAAAATAAAGTAAAACCTGAAAAAAACAAAAAGTCATCTTTTATCCAATTATTGATAAAATATAATAAACGAATCATGATAACTAAATAATTATATATATATTAATTACTAAGAAGACAGTATGAATGTTTAGTGGGAAGTATAGTCAAAGGAGAAGGTATTGATTGCATTATTGATTAAAAAGTTGTTTACACAATACCAACAATGCCTAGATCAGGTTTCTGATCTTGAAAAACAACAATTGTTATCTAAACCAAAAGTATGGTTTTTCTTATTTGGAAAAAGCATGAATTTTGATGATATAAGTACACTTAAATGTTTGATCAATTTTTTTTATTTTATATAGTTTCAATTTACTCTCCATGTTCGATGCAAACCTTTTAACTTTATTTAACAAAAATGATGAGTATATCTAAACAAGAGTCAAATTTTGACAATTTCCGTATTTCTCCTGCTGTTTAAAATGCGCTAGTCATTTTTACATGTGAACCGCAACTAACATAGATTCGGCCTGCTATAAAATGTTGCATGAATTTTAGGGACAGGGTCCACTTAGAAGTGTCGCAAATCCTTGAGTTTTGATTTTACCGCTCTAACTAACTTATCCTTTTTTAAAACCTTAAACATTTACATTTTATAACTTTACGTTTAAGAAGTAATTGGAAAAGCCTTTAAATCACAGTGAACTCAAAATGATTAATTTTATAATTGAAAAATAAAGGATTTTTACCCAGATAGAGGGCTGCTTAAAAATTATATCCGAAGTTGAGCTCTATCAGTAATAACAGTCAAAGTGCGGAAATTAATTAAAATATCTTCTTAAAAATAAATGGTACAGACAAAATTACTCTTTTAGTTTTTTTATTGCATTTTATTTATTTTAACAAACTCCCAGGGCAAGTTAAGAAAAATTTCCAAGAAAAAAAATCAAAAAATCACAAAGTAAAAAGAAAAATATTTCATTACAGGGTTCAATATTGATATCTCTTCAAAATAAATTCAATTTACGGATAGATTTTTTATTTAACTAAAATACAAGTTTACAATGTTTTACAATATTAGACATTAAATATTATGTGAAGGGACTGGGACATTTTTAGAGTATTTTCATGATATCTGCAGCAGTAATTAATAATATGAAATAAACGCGTTTTTTTATTTACAATAAAATGATTAAAATGATTAAAGATTAGAAATAACTCTTTTAAAAGTTTCATATATTATATGAAATATGTTGTGTTAAAATATAAGACATTTTGAATATTGAAATATTGGGGGGGGGGGGGTCGGCTATGTTTTGTTTTAGTAAAGATATTATTTTTTCCACTTCTAAAAGACTTTAGAAGATTTTTCCTAAAAAAGTCTAGTGCATTTTCAAAGAACTATAAAAATTTGTATTTAATACAGGTTGTTACTTGCAAGTAAATTTTCTTATCCAAATAGTGATTTATTTTTTTATAATATTTTTATAAAAATTATTAACACAAAATCAAGTTCGCACTTTTTATTGATATGTTTTTATTTCTGTTATATTAATATTTACATATATATAGGTTTGAGATATTTAAAATAGGATGTTATTTATTTAGTATTGTTTGACTGTGCTCTTACTCCTTTAGATTCACTACAGCGGTCGGCGTTCATATCAATACAATGACGATTTTTAGAGACACAAGTTTTCATTTCCAAAAAGTTTTTTTTTCAAATTTTGAACTAAACAAAGAGAAGCTTTTATTAACACTTACTCTATGTTTCCCTGTCTATGTGTAGTAATGTGGATCCAAGCTGTTTAAAAACTTATTAGAAATCAAAATTGAAATAAAAAGTAATCTTCATAGTTTTAAAATAAACGACGACGACTTTATGATTATACTGTATTAGATAAATTTAAATTTAATGTT